AAAAAAAAAAAAAAAAAAAAAAAGTTTTAAAAAGCAACTCAAAGTGTATTAAAGACAAATATAAGAGCTGATACTGCCAAGCTACTTGCTATGCCATAGTTTGTGTCGCAGTGTCCCCACAGGCCCATGTGTTGACAGCTTGTTCCCCATCCAGTGGCACTGTTGGAAGGTAGGGGGACCCTTAGGTCATCAGAGACATGCACTGAAGGGGGATACTGAGACCCCAGGCTCCACTTTCTTGTTTTCAATTACAGATCATGAAGTAAATGGCTTTGACCTGTCACACGTTCCCACAATGATATGTTATCACAGGCCAACTGATCATGGATTCAAATCTTTAAAACTCAGGAACCATATGCCAGATATGGTGGCGCACACCTGTAATCCCAGCACTCGAGAGGCTGAGACAGGAGGATCGTTGAGAGTTCGACACCAGCCTGGGTTAAAAAGTAACCTCAAGGCCAGCCTGAACTGCATAGTGAGACCCTGTCTCAAAAAGACAAAAATAAATAAATAAATAAATAAATAAAACTCACGAACCAAAACAAACCTTTCCTCTTTTAAACTGATTATTTTAGGTATTTGTTACAGTAACAGAAAGCCAACATACTGATGTAAAAATTATGGAGGAAAAACTACATGACGTTGTTTGGGGTAATGGACTTTTAGATTTGATTCTAAAACCTCAGGCAACAGCAGCAAAAATAGGTAACTGGGATTACACCAAACTAAAAAGCTTCTGTATAGAGAAGGGAAACAACACAGTACATTGGTAGCCTACGGCACGTGTGCCACAGCAGGCTGTTTGTATCACTGAAATCTCGTTTTGTGTTTTTGAGACAAGCTTTCACTATGTAGCCCAGGCTGGCCCTGGACTCACGGCGGTCCTCCTGCCTCAGCCTCCCGAGTGCTGGGAGTACAGGCATGTGCACCATGCCTGGCCCTCTTCCAGTTTATAGTCATTAGATCATGCCCCTTTTGCCCTATTCTCTTTCCCCCTAACTAGCTATTCATCACCCCTGGCATAAAAATACATTGATTTAACTGTTTCATTATGTCTTAATTTTCTTATGAGGGCTCCCATGTTAAGTAAAACTTAAATAAAGTTGTACGCTTTTGTCGTGTGAAAAATTTTAAAAAGGTCTTTAACCAGCAGGTAAATGTTGATGACACAAATTTTTATCTCCAGCCCTGATATCCAGGCTCACATGTGTACCTCTTCTTCAACGTGTAATACTTATCTCAAACATATGATGTCAAATAGAACTCTTAATTCAACTTACTTACTCCAATTATTTCTCCAGTCTTTCTCATCATAGTATGCTACACCACCGTCCTCATAGCACCAACCTTTTCTCCTCATCCCTAAATCAAACGTTATCAGCTCTACCTCCAAAATGTATCCCAGATGCATCTACTTTTTACACTATAACGTGTATTACAAAATTTTATTTAGAATTCTGACATCTGTAATGAATAAATGACATTGGTCAGCAGTTTCCCTTTTTTGTTCAATCTTTATGAGGTTTTAACATTAAAGTTATGTCATTTTATTCAGTGAACTGGAGATCTTCCATTTCCTCAAGATTTTCAAATATGTTGATTCCAAGCAGTTGCACAGAGTATTTCAATAAATTATTTTAGTCTTTCCCACATTAGGTAGCTCTTTTATTTCCAATATTGTATATTTTTTGTATTTAATTGGAGGAACTTTGACTTTACAAAGAAATAACTTTTGCATTCATTTGATTTTGTTTGTAACTGTATTAATTTAAGGGTTTATATTTCTACATTTACCTTCTAATAATTTTTGTTATTTTCTGTTTTGTTAAGAACTACATTCTTTTTAAAAATTTCTCTTTTTCAACAATGAAGAAACCTAAAGCTACAAATTTTCCTCTGAGTTTAGCTTTCAGAGTGCTGCATTAGCTTTGGCATAAAATTTTCTCTTTCATTAAGCTTGTATACTTAATAATTTTTCTTTTGACTTTATCTTCAGTAGAAAGACTATATTTTCAATAATCTAAGTGGGTACAATTTTCATGACCAACTTCTATTAATTAGTTATAATTTTTTTTAATTGTGAGAGAATGTAGCCTGTAAAATTCTTTACTTTAAAATTCAGTTAACGTTTTCTTTGTGGCCATGTATATTATTGCTTTGAACAGTAAACATTCAAAGAATGTATGTTTACATTTATTATTGTTATTTATTTATTATGCATATTTAAAACTTTTGTCTTTGCTGGTGATGGCGGCACACGCCTGTAATCCCAGCACTCGGGAGGCTGAGGCAGGAGGATCATTGCAAGTTCAAGGCCAGCCTGAACTGCATAGAGAGACCCTGTCTCAAAAAAAAAAAAAAAAAAAAAAAAAAAAAAAAAAAAAACCAGAAAACAACTTTTGTCTGTATCTTTTATCTACTGGATCCATCCAATAACAAAAGAAGTGGTTTTCTATTTATATTTTTCTCAAGTTTCCCATGTATCTCTACTAATTTTCATTTCTGTATTTAGCTTACTGCATATAGTCTTAGTACTTATATTATTATATGATAGCCTTTCTTACCCTGGTTAGTCTCCTTATCCTGTTTTTACACTTACATTGTATATTATTAGTTGTCAGTATTATCACTTTTACCTCCCATTTGCCTAGTTTCTGTTTGTTTGGCTGAAGTTTTAGGAGTTAACTCATTTAAATAACATTGGCTATCTTATGTCACTCAAGAGTTCCAACTAGTAATTTTATTATCTTTGCTTAATAAAATTAAAATAACCATGACTCATTTAACACCATCTATATTACACAGTAAGAAAAGAACCAAGAATACAAGCTTGGTGGAATGCCAATATTTGAGACATGCTTGGAACCCAGAAGGAAAAAATACAGAAGAGCTGTATAATACAGTATAGCTTAACAGGAAATTTTACTTGCAAATTTGGGATCTTACGTAACAGCTAAAGTCACCTTACTTGTTATAATTATTTAAGGAAAGATCCACATATTATAAAGTTTTATAACAAGTGATTTTAAAACTTCTAGTTGTTACTCTTAAAAGCTCCTTCATCTAGTACGTATTTGTTGTCTTTTTAAAATAACAACTTACTTGTTGAGCACATGTTCTCCAAAGTTAAGATCTATTTCAAAAAACAAACAAAATTTTATATTATTTTGTGTAACACTTTTTTCTTAAAAATACATTACAATGTTTACAATATAAATCTTCAAAATAGATGCTTACTTTGCACAAGGCTAGCAAGTGTGCCATCTATGCTGTTTGCTGTAATTACTCCACCTTGCTGTCTGTCTCTCACGGATCTGTGGGCCTCTGAAGGGAATACTAGTTGTAACACAGGGGAACAATCAGAAAATAAGCATAAACCAAACTTAAGTCTCTATGGTAATGGCATACACGTATTCACCCATTCCAGACTAACAAAAGTTCAAGTTATTAGGCAAACAATGATAAGTTATAAATAAAGTGATGTTAATTTATTAAATAAATTTTAATTGAGTACTTGTTATGTGTCAGACACTGTACTAGATGCTGCACAGGCCAAAGATACAAAAACCCACAGCTTCAGGTAGTTTACATTCTAATGGGGACAGAAAATAACCCAGAAAAATAAATTTTATTTATTTTGATTTTGTGGTGCTGGGTATCAAACCCAGGGCCTCACTTATGAACAAATAAATTTTGTAATATGCTAGATAGTGATAAATGCTAAGGAAAAGGACAGCGGGGTATGATATGTTCATGGAGGAGATCTGTCCAATAATGAGAATCTTCTCAGTACAATGGTATGCTCAAGTTCTCTATGTATTGCTAATAATCTTTGCTTTACATGTTTAGCTTAGTGTATGCAGTAATCTAAATTTTAAAAGGGAAAGACTCACTGCAAGGGAAACTAAGGCTTTGAGAGACTGAACTACCATGATCTAGCAAAAGGACTGACAGGAGCAAAGGTCTTGAGGAAAGAATGTGCCTGGTTTGTCTGGATACCAAGGAAGATGCCAGCGTGTCTGCATTCAGAGTGACCAAAAGGACAAGAAGACAGCTGCAGGCCTGGGAAAGCAGATCTTTAAGGGTCTTACAAGGAACTGGAAGGGTTCTTCTGGTTTTTATACTGAGGCTACCAACTCAGGCCGGCTTCTATGAGATGGAGAAAGCCACGAGGGATTTGAACAGAGGAGAAACATGATCTACTTTGTATTTTAAAGGGATCATTCTGCTGTATAAAGAATGGACTGGCATGGTAGAAGCAGGGAGATAGTCAGAAAGCTCTTGCAGCAGCATCTGTTGAGTTTTTGTTAGACTTACAGAATCTGAGACTTGTAGGGTAAAATATACATCGGCTGGGCCATGGGGATTAGGGCCTGAGGAAGGAGCAGAAGGAACCTGAGAATGACCTGGGGGATATCTAAGCGAAACCACTCCAGAATCCCAGAGAATTGGGCAAGAACGACACAACACGAAGCTTTTGGGCTTTATCTTTGGAAATGGGAAGTCTCTGAAAGATTGTGATGAAGGGAATGGCATGCCTATATTTAAGTTTCTAAATATCACTTTGGCTATAACATGGAGAAAGGGTTAGAGGAGAGCAAGAACGGATATATAGGAACCAGGTAAGTGACTATTATATCTCAAGAGAAAATTGGCAGTGGTTTTAAGATTGTAGTAGTTTGGACGCATGCAAGTATAGAAAATTGAGAGATCACTGAAAAGTAGAATGAGTAGAATCTGGCGATGGATTAGAGTAAAGGCAGAAAAATTTTTTTCCAAAATAGAACTTCTAAGTCACAACTGAGCACCTAGTGTGGACAGGGGTGTCATTCAAAGGCAAAGGAACAAGGCTTGGGAGATGGGAAGTGAACAGTTTCATTCTGGATAAACTGAGTTTGAGATAACTGTGCAATATCCAAGGGGAGAAGTCCAGGGAACAGCTAGCTACTCTGTTTGGAGCTCTAGCTATGAATATAAACCATAATATAAACACAGCTTGTTATATTAGCCATGTTTGTCTTGTAGCATCTGTTGCAATTAATAATAATTCCCAGGGGCTGGGGATTTAGCTCAGCGGCAAAAGCGCCTGCCTGGCAAACGCAAGGTCGTGAGTTCGGTTCCCGGTACCGGAGAAAAAAACCAAAAAAAAAAAAAAATAATAATAATAATTCCCAAATGATAAGACTCAGAAAAGTGACAGTAGTCATTCTCTTGGAAATTAAGCAAGTGTCTGGTCTTTTCCAGATATATGGTTTTACTCAAAGGACTTATGTTCATCGTAATGTTGGTTGAATTCATCCATTAGAAATGCAGAATGTTTGTCCAGTGAAAATGTATACACAAAAGAAAAGTACATTTAAAATAGATATAGTTTTGCCGGGCGTGGTGGCGCACGCCTGTAATTCAGCACTTGGGAGGTGGACGCAGGAGCATCATTGCAAGGTCGAGACCAGCCTGGGCTACAAAGTGAGCTCCAGGCCAGCTTCAACAATATAATGAGACCCTATCTCAAAAAAATTAAAATAAAATAGGTATAGTTTAAAACTTTAAGATTAAATTTAATTAAAATACATATAAACTCTATGACATTATAGTTTATTATAGCATGAGTTTGTGTCTAAAGAATCAAATGCCATCATTGAAACACAATAACTCATTAAAATATGCCTGCCTCTGAGCAGCCATTTGCCAATAAATGTATAACTCTTCAGGTAAAAAAAAGCCCTATTTCTGAGGTTTGCCCATTTCTGTACTGTAAACACTCCCATCATGGCCAATTTCAAGTAATCAGCATGACTTTAGCCACACAGCAAAATTCCTAAAAATTTTATAATTGGCTCTTGTAAGCTGGTATGAGGCAAATTAACCTTAAGGGATTACGAAGAGTTTCCACTTCAAGTATTATAAGATATCACACTGCATGTATACATACATGCGCTTATTTGTAAATTTTACATATTGATAGGTAATCATTTACATGGCATGAATTTCAGAAGTTACAAAATGGTATACAATGGAAAGTGTCCCACCCACCTCTATCCATGAACCACCATGTTCTTCTTGTAGACAACCAATTTAAATTCATTAGTTATATATCTTTCCAGAAGTATTATTTTAGATATATGTAGGTTTTCTTTTTCCATTTCAAAAAAGCAAAGACGGTGGTATAGTGTAACTTGTTTCACACCTTGCTCATTTGTCACTGAGCAATACAACTTGGAGATGATTCCATATCAGTACATAAAAATAAGCCTCTTATTCACAGCCATTTTGCTATAACAGTGCTTCAGTGAATATCCTTGCTCACATATTATTTCATAATTGTGAACATATATATGCTTCAGGAGGAGGCAGCAATAGATGTGGAGCAGTGGAAGAATTAAAAATTCTAATCCTGCCTTCAATTATTACTGACATAATCATGTCATAACGTCGTATTACCTGTACTCAAAGCTTGGCTTGCTGAGGCTTTCACAACTGGGCTAACTGGGATGGATGGAATAAATTCACGCTGGAGTCTACAGAGATCACAAGAAAAATGAGGCACAGTGGACAGTAAATAAAAGGTACAAGATTTATGTGATCTGAAGAGAAGCCAGAGTATAGAGGAGGATAAACAGAAGCACATATATCCTACGTAGTTGAGCCTACGTTTCTTTGCTTCATTCATCTACCAAACTATCTACTAACTGTGGAAAAGATATAGTTAATATTAGCCAAAGGATTTACCATCTAACCTGTGAATGAACAGTATATGACCATTGCACAAATATTGGACAATACAAAAACACAAAGAAGAAAAATGAAATCAACCATAATTATTCCACTTGAAAATAGCCAATGTGACTATTTTAAGGTGATATATCTCAATTTTGTATTATTCAATTTGTACATATACGCATATATAAGGAGTATATGTATGTGTACATATATGTACATGCATAGACACGTATGTTTTGATCAATAGAAGTACGTATACTGTTGTGTAAATGAACAATTTGCCACGCCATTAAATAATCTATATAATAGTTATTCTTATTAGAGACGCCTTTATGGCAGAGAATCAAATTCCTGAAAAGAAGTTGGGAAGAATGTGGAACTCTACAAAAGATTTAACAATCTGTTACATGTCATCATTTACAATAGGTGAGTAGGATTCCATGGTAGTCATAGCCCTTTATTTAGTTATACTGTTATAGCATTTAGCCTGAGGAAATCATTTAGAGGGAAACAAAATTAACCTACATTAACACATTTATTAACTTACCTGTAAGGAGGTAAACAGTCATTTTTCTTTTCCAAATAAATTAAATGCTGTTTCAGTGCTTCAATTAAACTGTGGGGTGCCTAAAATGTTATTAAAGATTTAGTCTTTGGTACTCTCCTATATCATAAAAATATTTTCAATTAAAATAAGGACACCTCTATAACAAATTCATCAGAGCTAAAACTCTTATATGAAAATTCATTATTAAAGGTAGTATCTTATATCAAGTCAGATTTTCAAACTTATTCTTTGGAATACATTTTTGTTTGGAAAACACTTTTAAAACAATGAAACGTCTTAAAAGAAGAAAAGGACTGCTAACATATATAACCCCTGAGGAAAAGACTTTGAGCTTGAAATAATTCATTATTCCTGGTTCCTTCCTGAGGCACAGGTCACCAGGGAAACTTAAGCAAAGCATTAGGCCAAGGAGAGAAGAGGCAGAGTAAAGAGAAGAAAACTGGCACAGAGGGAAACGAAGAGACAGAGAATATCACTCAGCTTAGCAAACTCAATCAAATATCGATCTCAGACTTTACAGTCTACAGGTCTGGGGGAGAAAAGATACCAACAGTCACACAAATGTGAAGTCAAAGTTGTGACAAATACCACAAATAGAGGCATACACTCAGGTAGTGTTGAAGCAGGAGAGTGTGACCAAGTCAGTTGAGCTGAGATCTAAAGTACTGAAAATGAAAGCTGACTGAGAGGGAATTACAGATGGAGACACAGGAAGGAGCACATTTTGGAGACAAAACCGCTGATACCAGGGCTGGGAACATAGCTCAGTGGCACTAGCACCTGCCTGGCAAGCGCAAGGTCCTGAGTTCGACTCCCGGTACAAAAAAAAAAAAAAATTGCTGATACAGCCGGGCATAGTGGCGCACGCCTGTAATCCCAGCACTCGGGAGGCTGAGGCAGGAGGATCGTTTCCAGCTTGAGACCAGCCTGGGCTACAAAGGGAGCTCAAGGCCAGCCTGAACTTCACAGTGAGACCCTGTCTCAAAAAGACAAAAAAAAGGGGGGAGGGTTTGCCTGATTGCTCTTCAGATAATTCTCCGCCAGCTGACATCGTGCAGAAAAAGGCTTGCAGCTGTTCTGAAGCAGACGTCCCTGCGCCAGCGCTCGAGCTCTCGTCTAGCTGAGCTGGGCGGGGCGGGGCCTGGCAGAGCCGAGCGCAGCCGAGTTCAGTCGAGCTCAGTCCAGTACAGCGCAGCCAAGCCCAGCCGAGCCTAGCCCGGTCGAGCACAGCCCAGCCGAGCCCAGTCAAACCCAGCCGAGCCTAATCCAGTAGAGCCCAGCTCAGCGGAGCCGAGCCCAGCCCACTCGAGCCCAGCCCAGTCGTGCCGAGCCTAGCCGAGCCCAGTCAAGCGCTGCCGAGCCTAGCCCTGTTGAGCTGAGCCCACCTCAAGCCAGTCCAGCCGAGTCCAGCCGAGTCCAGCCGAGTCCAGCCGAGCCCAGCCGAGCCCACAACAGCCCAACCTAACCGAGTCAAGCTGAGCCCAGCACAGTTGAGCCCAGCACAGTCGAACCCAGCCCAGCTGAGGCCAGCCCAGCCAAGGCCAGCCGAACCCAGCACAGTCAAACCCAGCCCAACCCAGCTGAGCTCAGCACAGTCAAACCAAGCCCAGCAGAGCACAGCCCAATTGAGCCGAGCCCAGGCCAGTCGAGGCGAGCCCGCCCGAGCCCAGTCGAGGGCAGCCCAGCCCAGCTCAGTCAGGCCCAGTCGAGCCCAGCCAAGCCCAGCCTACTCGAGCCCACCCCAGTCGTGCTGAGCATAGTGGAGCCCTGTCGAGCCCAGACGAGCCTAACCCAGTAGAACGCAGCTCAGCGGAGCCCACCCCAGTCAAGCCAAGCCTAGCCGAGCCCAGTCGAGCCTAGCCCTGTCGAGCCGAGCACAGTCCAGTCGAGCCTAGCCAAGCCCAGCAGAGCCCAGCCTGGTCGAGCCCAGTCAAGCCCAGCCCACTGCAGCCCAGTTGAGCCCAGTCAAGCCGAGCCCAGTCAAGCCGAGCCCGGTCGAGCCGAGCCCAGTCGAGCCGAGCCCAGTCGAGCCGAGCCCAGTCGAGCCGAGCCCAGCACAGTCAAGCCAAGCCCAGCTGAGCCCAGCCCAGCACAATTGAGTCCAGCCCAGCTGATCCCAGTCGAGCAGAGCCCAGCACAGTTGAGCCAAGCCCAGACGAGAACAGTTGAGCCCAGC